ACCCTATAAAAGATTAACCCCAAGAACATCAAACCTACCATCAAGCATGGAGGTGGCAGTATCATGCTGTGGAGCTGTTTTGGTTTCAGTGGAAGTGGTGCTTCACACAAAGTCTTTTTGCTGATGCAATGAGCAGTGACCTTTGAGCAAGCAGAAGTAATGTAAGCCTTTAATCCTCTGACAAGGACATTACAGCATGACTATGTGGTCAATATAACTCCTCCACTCCTCGTTTAGAAAACTTCACTGTATTTATTGGCTTCTTTATCAACTAGAAATTGTACCTTTACGTTCTTTTTGTACTATTCACCAGTGCATAGGGTCAGAAATGAGGCTTGAGAACGGATTATATTATGATAATACAGACAGCGAAGCAAATCTTTGTCTCGGGGCAGTAATGAATCAGGACTGAGTCACAGGTGAGCTCTGCAGTTTGCCACTCCTGTCCTGCCAAAAGCTCTTATGTATGCAGAGTTAAATAAACACACACTTGTTTTCCAATTAGTCATGAGCCCGATGTTCACACTGTCACGTTCTGTCATTGTAAAGACAACTTTGTCGGGAGTGATTCTTGGACGGAGGTCTGAGAATGCAAAAGGACAACTTCCTAGATGTAAATGAGAAACTGCTTCTGTTTCCTGCAGCAGTTTTGTGAAGTGTATGACTGGTGACTTTTACGCTGGCTCATCTTTAGAGTTTACCACAGTTCAGTGCTCTGTCACGCAGGTAGCTGGGATCCTAGCTGGCATTTCTAGTCTTATGGGTGTGATTGACAGGCATATAGGTCACACTTTGTTTTGTGAACTTGAGAACATGAACGTACACGTTTATTACATAATCCGATCTTTTATCCCATTCATCTGTCTCTCAGGCGGAGGGATCTCGAGCTATGCAGGCCAACAGGGAGCAGCAGGGCAGAGCTTGGAGGCTTGTCTCGACCAGGCGGTGAAGGACATCCCCAAAGACCGACATCGGCTCACACCTGTGTACCTGGGAGCCACAGCTGGCATGAGGCTTCTGCAGTGAGTCAGTGTGTGTTTGTGTCTGAATGTGTGATTAATTCTTGTTTTTGTGTGACTTTGTTGTCCTTTTACACATTTCACCTTTTTTTTATATTCCAGTTATGTCACTAGGACTTTCCAAACTGTTATTTTTGATACAGTAATAAGTAAAATTGAAAACCACAGAGCTCTTATAGCATCATCTGCCTTACACAGCTTTAAAATAAAATGAATGGAGATAGATGAATAGAAAGGAAATTGCAGTGTTGCAGCTGCAGCAGCATGTACAGCATAGAGATGCATGATATACAATCGTGACTCGATAATCCGACACTAAATGTAAAACTATAAAGCTGTCGGATTATCAAGACGGAGGTCGAGATACAAGGAAGGCTTGATGCTGGAAGGCTCATTTGTCCAATGGGGTGGAAGTGGCTGGAACCTACAGGCAGTACTTGGCTGCTGATGCCAGTTTAGTTCGCGGTCACAGTTCTGTTTCCACCATCGGTGGCGGCGGTAGCGGAGGAGGAGTGGCAGATACGCTCCACCATTACCATGTGTGTTTACTTCTGCAAACACTGAGCATGCTCACTGCGTGTGACGTCGTCGTGTCCTCTTCTGCGCATGTGGGACACTTTTGGGTCGTATGAAGTTCACACAGCAGATCACATACAAGTTGCATTTAACTGGAAACGTGAACTAATTCGCAAAGGAAATGGATTTCACAAAAAATCTGAATGTAGCATTAAGTCCTGCAGTCTGAACGTAGCCAATCTGTGGGATTGTTCAGTCAGATAATACGCCATTATCCTGATTGGTGACATAAAATGTCATCTCGGAGTCGGAATCCAAGGCTGTCGGTATTTTAAAGCTATTTATTATGGGTTCCATTCGTTTTTCCTAAAAGCCTGTCGGATAGCAAGGTTTTCGGATTGTTAAGGGTCGGATTATCAAGTCACGACTGTATTAGTTTTTTTCCAGTTCCTATAAAGAATTAAGTCTACTGATGTACTTAAGTACTGATGCGGTGCCTTTTCCCATTAGCTTTATCTGTGACGATGAATAAAGAGTGCAGCAATAATCAGTCAGAGACAGTACTGTTTAAATTTGGATGCACCTTGCCTTTGTTTTTATTGTTTTCTACAGTGTAGAACAAGGTTAACGACATTGAAAATATAAAGTAGCACAAATGGAATTTTGTAGTGAGGGGAAAACATGCCTCATATTTTAGATTCCCTTAAAATGATTCCTTTTTGCCCTTGATGACAGCTTTGCACAGCATTAGCAACATCTGTGGTAGCTCCCTGGAATGGTTTCCCATTAGTAGGTGTGCCTCATCTGTTGTGTCGCAGTGCAGCAAATAGCCTCATCCAACCACTGTAGTCGTTCATATTACGGCACGATCAGCTCATCTCGTTAAAGGGAAACACATCTGTCCGTCAATCTGGCAGAGTTTTATAAAATTACTTCCAAGTTCAGTCTCAGAAATCATCAAATGTTTTGAAACTAGCTCTCGTGAAGGTCGACTTCCCTCCGCTGTGGGGGGAAAAGTTTATTTGAGTTTGCAGCCTCAGAAACATACCCTTAAATTGCACCTCAGTTTAGAGCACACATCATTGCTTCCAAAAGTTCAAGCAGCATCTCAACATCAGCGTTTGGGAGGAAGTAACCTGACCTTTATGGTGCAACTGCTGCAAAGAAACCACTACGGAGTCACTGTTTGGACCAAGAAACCCAAGAAATGGACATTAGATTGGTGGAAATTTGGTGAACATTTGGTCTCATGAGGTCAAGTTTGAGACTTTTGGTTCCAGCTGCTGTGTCTTTGAGTTGCAGAGAAAGTGACAAAATGGTATCTTCATGAGTAGGTACCACCGTGACGGCTGGATTAGGAGCTGGGATGGTGTTGGGGGATGTTGCTGGTGACCCTGTTGGCAACACTTAACCAGCATGACTCTAACAACATTCTGCACTGACAGCTGTTCTGAGTGTAGTGGGACCTTGATTATTGTATCAGCAGTACACCTTCAGGGCTCTTTGCTACAATCATCCAACTGAGATGGTTCAGGATGAGTGTTACCAATAATCATCTTGCTGAATAAAACTGGAAAACCTAATCAAGGCAAACAACATCACTGTGACACCCTGTATAGAAATGTTTGTTGTCACGGTGCTCTGATATGAACTATTTGTACAGAACATGCAGACATCTTGTGAACATGTTCGCCAACATATTCACAACTCCGCTTGCATAACCTCTTATTGCCCTTGTTCTATCTAATCTGATGATGCCACTTACAGCAGATCTGGATCATCGAGTTCTGAGATTACAAAGTAGGGATGGTGACAGTGCATTCAGACACGCAAATACAGTCACAAAGAGGCTCGTGTTGGGAATGCAAAGCAGAGTCGAGCCTCGCAACAGGGAGTTAAGTTAGTTTACATGTATTCAAATATAAATGTGACTTTATGTGAACATGCAGCAGACAGCAGCAGTCACTCGGTCTGAGGTGCATGTTTCAATCATTTGTTCAATGCAATCAATTCTGACACCAATGTGACTCATTTGCATAAATTACCTTGTTTAAAAGTTTAACCTTTCTTGTTTGTTCACTGCTGACAAGTTTGAGCCTGAATGTTTGTTAAAAGGCTGTTTCATTACAGTAAGAGAACTTCACTGTATCAGCATCACCTGCTGAAAAACGCAGATTAAAAAAATCCTTTCAACATTCCCCAGAAGCAGCAGCAGCAGCAGCAGCTCAGGCCTTTCCTTAAACCGCTGCTCGGAGAAATCTTTGATCTGACAGACGTGTTTTTGGGATCTGTGAATGCACTTGAGGACTTGACTGGCAGGATCTTAAGCTTTTTAGATGAACATGAATCGCAGCAACTGTCAGAAACCACACAGAGATCAAAAGATGCACAAGTGGAGACATAAAAACGGAGGTTGTCTGCAAAAAGTAACTGACAGATTCTGCCTTCAGCTGTCCGTCAGAGTCCAGTTGGAAGTTGTTTTTTTTTTTGTGGAGTCTTCTGGGCTGGTTGTAATTATGATGAGCCTGAGGCTTCTGGTACCTGCTGGCAAACGTGTGGAACTGATTTGACTGTGAAGCTTTCAAAGACGGCCTCAAGATCTGTAGAAGGTTTAGAGTTTGAGGCAAAGCCTGAAACCGGAAGGTCAGACTAAAGTTTGCAATCAAATACTCCTGTTTTTATTCGTGTTTCAAAGCTGTAAATCAGTCTAGTCACTAAAACAAGATTCTTTCTTTTCAGCATTTCCAGCCCGGACCAGTCGGTTCAGATTCTGCAGGAAGTGGGCCATAAAATCCACTCGTACCCGTTCAGCTTCCAGGGAGCTGCCATACTGAGCGGTCAGGAGGAGGGAGCGTACGGCTGGGTCACCGTCAACTATCTCTTAGAGAACTTCATTAAGGTACCCCAACATGTAGCAGGTTCTAATCAGCAGGAGTCAACGAGTAATGCCACAGCAGTCGCTTAGAAATCGTTCATTTCCAGCATCGAAGGTCTAATGAGGACAGCTGGAAGAAGGAAGCTAAAAAGCAGCTCATTTGTTTTCCTGGTTATTCCTTCACAGTACGGCTTTGAGGGCCGCTGGTTCAGCCCCAGCAGGCCGACAGTGGGAGCGCTCGACTTCGGCGGAGCGTCCACGCAGATCACATTCGCCACCGAGGAGAAAATCGAGGACAAACGCGACGTGATGAAGCTGCGTCTCTACGGCCACGAGTACTCTCTGTACACTCACAGCTTCCTGTGCTACGGCCAGGACCAGTTCCTCAAGAGGCTGCTGGCTCATATCGTAAAGGTAGTTCACTGAAAAAAAAAAAAAAAAATAGGAAGTTCACTGACGTCAGAACTGAAACGTGTGGCTGGACTCTGTGCCAAAGTTCAGTGGCTCATATTCTGGCATTTATAACCAATAATCTGCAGTATTCAGTGCAAGGTGACAGTTGTCTCTGGTCAGGAACCAGATGTTTTATTAACTTTGTGGCTCTAAGTTGAAGCCTTTTAGGAAAACCAGACTCCCAAGTTAACATCTAGACCTACAGTAACTGATTTCAATAGCAGCAATAACAAACAGCTTTTAAAGTCATGCCTGCATGTACATTAACATTAACTTAATCACACAATATAAAATCCAAATGTGTATATACTAGTGGTGGGACGCGATTAAAAAAATGTAACTCATTAATTAAAGGCTTTGTAATAATTTATCGCGATTAATTGCATTTTTATCAAACAGCAATATTTGACACAATAAGCAAAGATTTTCAGTTCAAATACATTTTGGTTGACGACTGAATCTATAAATAGACATACATCAACTTAAACAACAAAAATGTTTATTATCTATATTTATCTGCATTTTTCATCTGTTTACGACATTAACAGATTAGTGCAAACTCAAAGTGCAATTATTGCGATTATAGTCAACATTTTAAGATTTTTTGTCTTTAAACTCCTTGCACAGTTTGCACACAACCATGCTCTTATCCAAGCCGCCTCATGTGTCGACAGGATCCGTCAGTTTCTTGCTTCCCATTCATGGTCCATGTGAAATGCCCCTCGTCGTGTTCTGGAGTGTCGCAGGGAGTTTTAAGCGACAAGACCTTGTGTGCGAGCTCATTTGCATAAAGTAGACTGGACTTTGACTTCATGCAAATTTGGCACATTTTGGCAGAATCACCCCTCTGGACGTGCAACATCAGGCCTTGATAAGAAAAATAACTTTCCATCCAACACGCCAAGCAATGCGGTCTCGTCTTCCAACACTAAACTTAAACTAAGCGCTGATGTCACATCCTCTACATCTTCTTCACAGCTGGAAAACAAACTTTAGGCGCAGAAATGAGAAATTATGGAAGTGAGAAAGGTGCGATTAAATGTGCTATTTTTTTTAATGCGTTATTTTTTCTGTAATTAAATAATCATAATTAACGCGCTAAAGTCCCAGCCCTAGTCATCCTCAAATATATTCATATCCTCCCAGTAAAGAAGGAAAAAAACAGCTGTTACTGACATAAGCTGAAATTGAAAAAAGTAATAATAAATAAAAATTTTATGAACGTCATGGCATTGCTTTTGAATTGTGGTTCAACAGAAATATAAAAAAAAAAAAAAAACACAAGCATGATGGGACCTGTAAACTAATATTTCGCTGAGCAACCCTTTGAGTTAATCACTGCAGTCAGGTGTTTTCTGTAACTCTCAGTCAGACTTCTGCACCTGTTTACAGATATTTTGATTTTGTCCCAGTGCTCATCAGCAAAGTGCTCTGATTTGGACAGTTTTTGCTTTTTAAATTATTCTTTTCAACCACAATTCAAAAGCAATGTCTTATATCACTAAATTATAATTTAGCAAATTTTTATTTATTATTACTTTTTTCAGTTTCTAGTAATTTGAGTGACGATTGTGAATTTTGCCTTTTCTTTAATGGAAGGATATGAATACATTTGAAGACGACTGTATCTACACAAACTCACTGTATGTCATTAATAATAACGAGGTGCAGACAGACTATCCTACACAGCCCAGAGAATGGTCTGACTAAGTGAGACTAATAAATAGCAACCTAGCATGGACACATGATAAACATCCTTCATTAAGGGAATCTATCAGCTCACTGTGTCTCTTTTCTCTCAGTCTCAGGGCTACTCCGAGTCCGTCACCCACCCCTGCTACCCTGCAGATGCCAGCAGGGTGTTGAAGCTGAACAGTATATTTAATTCCCCGTGCACAGCCAAGTACAAACCCAGCTCCTACGACCCCCAGGCCTCTCTGACGGTACAAGGCAGCGGAAATTATGGACACTGTCTGGGCAACGTGTCCGAGCTCTTCTCCTTCGGCGCCTGTAAATTCTCCCGGTGCTCCTTTGACGACGTCTTCCAACCGAACGTCACCGGTGGCTTCATGGTAGGAAAAAGTGGAGGAAACGGAACTTACACTGCTCACATTTGGATCAGTGTTAATCTGAATTTGCACACTTGAAAACTAAATGCAGAATGAGCTTTTTCCCTCTCCTGAGAGTTGGATGAGAAGTGCTGCTACACGTGTACACGTCTTGAATATAAAGCTACAGACATCAGCCATTAGCTTAGCACAAAGTCTGGATAAACATCTCGTCTGCTATATCCAGCGGCAACAAAATCCACCTATAAAGCTCAGAACATCACGTTTGTTTCATCAGAACAAAAACCGGAGTGTAAAAATGGCAAACTGCAGTTTTTTGAGAGGGTTGCATCAATTTCCCGACTGGGATCAGTTGCCAGGCAACCGGCCAAGACTACAGGAAGTTACTGCTCCCAGCTGAGAAATAATCCACCATGTATCCCCTCCTTAAACCTGTAAGATTCTATTACAAGACCTGCATTAAAAATATCCCCAAGTACGCGGATTGTGAACAAGTTGTCAGAATAAAATAAGAACCTTTCAGGCCTTTAAGGAGGGAAAATGTGAAGTCGGTGCTTTAATTTATTGTACAGATGTGGACTGTACATGAGGATTTGTGCAGTTTTTAACCAAAACCAAAGGAAACAATTACATTTTTAAGCATTTTTGTCTATTAAGGTTTCATTCATTCGAGCATAATGAACATTTTTGTTTATGAAACACTCAGAAATAACAATAAATGTATAGATTTCTGTGACATAAGACTCCTCATCTTGTCATGATTACTGCTGGATGTAGTTTCCCTCTGAAGGCCAATTCTAATATCAATGCAACCTACATATAGTCTGTAACCCCTTCACATGCTCTGTTATTCTACTAGAAATGTCGTCTAAGAACAGGAAAACATGTCTTTTCATAGGAGCTTTATAGCACAGAAACGTTGGTTTTAGTGCTTTACACCTCATCAGTTTGTCATTCTCCAAGTCATTGTCTGTGTGCTTTTACTTGCACATAAATAAGATTAGAATTTAATCTCCTCTGTTTTCAGGCGTTCTCTGCGTTCTACTACATTCACTCGTTCCTGCAGCGAGTCACCGGCATCACCGTTAGAACTCCTACAGACCTGGATGAGACGGCCAAGGAAGTGTGCACCATGAGTTTCAACGAGGTAATGTTTTCTATCTCTGCTTTACTTTATTCAGAACATCCAAGTTTGGTGGCACATTTCTAGTGTGATTTAACAAATTCTGCCCTTTTTTTTGTCCCAGATGATGCTTCTCGTTCCAGATCTGAAGTCTCGTTTGCTGAATTATTGCGCCGCCTCCGTGTTTATGGAGATCCTGCTGTTGAGAGGTTACGGCTTCGATGACACGTCGTTCGAACACATTTCCTTCCAGAAAAAGGTGACAGCTTGCGCAACAAAATGCACAAGCACGATGCAAAACATTCTCAATCTGCTCCTCACGGTGGTGTTTCCCTGTTGCTGCAGGCTGGAGACGCCTCGGTGGGCTGGGCTCTGGGCTACATGCTGAGTTTAAGCAACATGCTGCCTGCAGAGCGGATGGAGCTGAGGAAGGCTTTGACCCCCGGAGCTTGGGGAACCCTCATCTTCCTCTTCGTGCTGCTCCTCGCTGCAGTCCTGGTCTTCATCTTAATGCGGGTTTGCGACAGGAGGAAGAAGAAAGGAGGCGGCGAAAGCAACATCTAGATGCTGCAACGAAAATAACAGTAGGACAGTTTTGGCTCTGCGCTCAAACATGTTGAATCTTAAACAGAAAGGGGAGATAAAAGAGCTGAATTTGAGTTTTTTAATTTGAGCACATAATGTTGTAGCTCTTTTTTTTTATTTAATTTTTTTTATACGTAGTCCTCCAGTTTTCAGCTAATGCAGCAGAACAATAATCTTAACCGTACTGTGCACTCTATTTACTGACTGCAAAGGACACCAAAGACACAAACATGACCACGCCCAGTTAAATTTTATAAAATTGAAGAATGTGCACAGAAATGACTGCAGCTTCTCCACTGTCTGGTTAATTTGCATGTAAATGTGTTCAAATACAACCCTTTTTGTTTTTAAGTCGTTAAATTTTAAACCCGAAGTGCAGAGCACAACTCAACCGACAAACTGACCAAACACCGTCTCCACTGCCCGTAGCAAACCCTCGGCGGCATTAGTAGCACAGCAGAAGTCTGAATGTAATGTGTTGTTTTTTATTCTTGAAACGTCAAACCGACTTTGTAGCGTGTTTGTGTGACTGTACTCTGAAGCACTGTTACAATAAAATGAAGCACATTGTGGAGTTCTACTTCTCTGGCCTTTGTTTTCTTAATATTTATTTTTTTTAAAAGATGGAAAATGCTTCATGCTTCAAGCTCTAAAGCTTGAATCAAATCTGCCAAAATACTTATTTACGGACAAATCAGATTTTCTTTTGTGATATAAATGTAGTTTGTGCTGCCAGTTTAATAACTTACTAAATATGAAATGTACCTCAGATCTGACTTAAATAAGGTTTTTCCGTCTCAAATCCTCAGCGGCCTTCTGCTCGACCATCTCTATGTTGGTTTAAACCTTTTCTCTTTTTTTTTGTTTCTGTTTCATGGAAAATTAAAATATATCTGAGGTGTGTGTTTGTTTTTCTTCTTTTAGCGTGTTGATTTTTATTGTTATTAATATTAGTAGTGCTAATTATATTAACATTATCCTGACTTTGGTCTGAGTTTGCAGAAAATCCTGGTGACATTTGGTGAAGTCTGTGTGTTGCTCTGAACTCTTTCAACCAGTGTTTAATAGAAAATAATATCACAGTGGATTATACTGATATTTTGACCAGAATTATATAATACTCATTAATGCTTTCTCAAGTTCTATTTTTATGGAGAACCCACTGTATTTCGGTGTTTTTCCATGTGGACTACAAAATCCAAGATGCTTTCCTTTATGAAAAAAGTACTTCTGATATTATTTCTCTGCCTACAGAATAAGAGCATAAGAAAGTTTCTTAACGAATGGTTAACTTGATTTGCTTTTGAAAATGGTGCACAAATTTAGGTTTAAAGTAAAAAA